CGAAGGCATGGTCCTCCACGCACTATCAAACGTAGTCTCTAAATTTCCTCTTGGGATTTTGTCTGCCATGGTTATGGTGAACATAAACTTTTCAAACAAAGTCCCATAGATGTCTTCAAATGGTAACAAATGACCTCTGAGCGACAGGTAAAGGTTGAAACGTCTGGATCTCTAGCTAACTGTCGGTTGAACGTCCTCCAACCTGTAGAACTCTCACACCGGAGGGGGTCTCTGGTAAAGAGTGTCCGATGCTTAAATGAGTAAGTATAGAAGATGAAGTACTGAGAGAGGTCTCTATACTATAATGTGCAATAGAGAATGTAGTGGTTGAAATCACAATACACACCCCTATTTATAGGGATGAACTACCTACTAAGAAGGTTGATCAGATATGGTGAGTTGGCTGCCCGAGCTGCCCTGTAGTACAACTTGCACTGCGCAGTGTGTCAGAAACGGTTATGGGGCCTAGACCAATAAGGTGATGCCATGTGCTTTTGCCCATGTGCTGCATTAATTACCTTGAATATTCATTTAGTCTCTTTCATTATGTGATCTGACCGTGCCTTTGTTTCTGATTACCTTGAGGTAAGACGTCACCAACGATGATTCTTGTTGTCTTGTCTACCTGGTCAATCCTTCGACCAGATGCCCTTTGAGACAAGTTTCCCCCAGGCTTTCCGAAGGCCATTGTTCGACCGATTTGTGTCTTTTGCATCGTCAGTATCTTCTTTGACCTGAGGGTTCTTCGACCTAGGGAGCCTTTGTTCCTACTCGACCTAATGACCAGTCCAATTCGGTTGGTTGTCTCTCTGGTCTAGTCTTACTAATGTGGTTATCCCATATCATCGGGCAACACATGCTCGTGCTCAGTCTCTTCCTCAATAATTTCTTCTTCTATCACGTCGACAACATGAATTTCCGATCGAGGAATGACCATTACGCACTCGAAGGCTTCTCACTTGTCTTCATTATGAGTGTCTAAACCACCGATGGTTGGGAACTTAAGTGCAAAATGGAACATTGAGACTAACACTTGGAGTTTGTAAAGCGTCGCCCTCCCAAGTATGGTGTTATACTCGCTCTGGTGATTGACAATCTTGAATGTTTCTAAGATTGTCCTCTCATTCGGACTTTGTCTCCGAACCTAATCGATAGTGTTATTTCTCACACTAGAAGTGTGGTTCGACCGTTAAGCCTTGAATTCAATCTCACCATGATTTCACCTCTTTTGGGTCGATCCCCATATTCTTAAATGTGCTATCGTATAAGATGCCCGCATCAGCTCCCGTGTCAATCATGATTCGATGCACATTGAGGTTGAATATCGGTGTTGTGAGCACTAGTGCATCTGATTGCGGGTGATCAAATAGGAAGGTGTCCTCGTTTATGAAGAAGATTAGATTTGAACTTGTCTAGGGCACCGGTCAGTAATTAGCATTCTGCACTCGCTGCCTGACATTGTAAGCGCACCGTGCATAGGCTTTGGTCTTTCACCTAGGTGGGGTTGGTCTACCGTGGCTTGTATTCATGAGTTGAGTGGGGGAGGAGTTTCTGTACAGAGGTTGGATTTTGGGTATCGACTGTGTTTCTGAGCTCAAGATGAACTAGTTTTTTCTTGATGAAATGGACAAGATGTACAATTTTCTTCTACGGTGGGGGACTCTGCGTTCTCGGGTATGTCTTTAGCTTTGTCACTATAGGGCCACCCTCAGGTCGGCCCATCTTTCTTCCCTCTTGATCTCGGGTGGACTTTCTCACCAGTGGATCTCTAATCATCTTTAACAGTCCTGAGATGAGATTTCGACACTGGTCGGTGTTGTGCCTATATGATTTAGGCACAATACCTCAACTTATCCTACTCTCTTCAGCTATCATCGGGCAGAATCCCCTTGTTTTTTATCTCCTCATATATTGTTGCAGCACTAGTCGAGTATTCCCCGCAGTAACTTTCTCTCAGCTCCTCTTGTCTTTGCTTTTTGAGAGCTCGGATTTGCGATATATAGGCTTCGTTTGCCAGGTCCCAGGTTTGTTTGGATTATTCTTTTTCTTGATCGTACCTCTAGACGCATCGAAGGTCAACACATACATGAGTTCCTCATCCATAACATGTTGTTGAGCACAGGACAGAAAATTCCCAGTAGATGGTTGGCTTATTATGGCACAACGACCACCTGAAGATTGAGTTGGGTTTTATACCCGAGTATTTTGATACCAACAACGTCTTCTGGTGACATGGCTTCATATTCTGAACTTGTTCATTGAATAAAGCAACGTAGTCTTTGAGGCTTTCCTAGGGCCCCTAGACTAAGTTTGGGATCGACTCCTTTGAAATCATGCAGACTTGAGACTCGATGAAGTAAGATAGGAAGGCCTAGCTCAATTGCTGCCAGGTCAAGATGGGGTAAGGGTACAATGAGTGGTATCACCTCTAGGCTTTGGGTCGAAGGTCATCCTTAGCCCTATGCAAATCCATCCACAACGTGTAGAGCTCTAAGTGTGAGTCCGAGTCCGAGATACAATCATAGATTCTGATATGGGGTATTTTAATCTTGTCCAGCAGAGGGCTGCACATGACGTCGGATGATAGCAGCGAGGCGGTGTCGATGATTCAGTCAGTTGAAATTGATGGGGGTGGCGAAGAAGCCCTTCTCCCGTACTTCTACCGAGCTTAGAGCTAGAAAAGTCTCTTCGTAAGGATTGTGACCTTGTGAGATTCACGTTTGATAAACCGATCCATTAGGATTTTTTTGCCTAAGGTCCTGGTCGGCATCTTTCTTCCCCAATCAAGTAAAGACCGAACGATTAGGAGACTTATCCTTGTGCTTAGTTACTGACCGACTTTCCTTAGTCTCTGTTGTTTGTGTGAGGTCAACAGTCTTCTCTTTACGACTTTTGGTTGCATCGTCCGGAGACTGGGTGGCGGCCATAGACTGAGCAGATCCTTTTCCCATGTCCCCGGTGACGGGGTTCGTGTCTTTCTTCGCTGATGTCCTGAGCATATCAGAACATCGACTGTGGTTACGATGGCGCATTAGGCGCTAAAAGCATAATCCCTGCCATAAGGCTTGCCATTCTTTTAAGGAACTTCGAATCCTGGAACATCTTGGTGAAATCGATTGTGGAGGCCGCCTCATATGGTTGCTTCATTGTTTGCGGTTGTGATTCGATTACTTGACTGGATGCAAAAATGCTCAAACGGAGAATTATGTTGTTGGTTGTGGATGTGGTGTTTTTCACGTTGAATAGTAACCACAAACAATATGAGACCCTCCTTCTAGTGTCAAACTATTGATCACTGGATTCGATCAACCCAAAGCACTAAGTAAGTGCCACTGATAATGTAATTAAACTGTTAAAATCAGGATTAATACGGTGTATTTGCGTAAACTCAATAATAATTAGGTCGGGTATTTCCTCTATTGAGGCCGATTATTCGCCATTAATGTTGTATTTAGTGTGGGAATATATATTTTTGTTACAGGGATTTTTTCTGAACCCTTTCACAATAGATTCCTAGCAATATTTGTTCTAAGGGTGGTCTGATTACTATCATCGGACAGTACAATTGGGCACTAAATTGAAATGACATGAATTAAATGTCGCACATGACCCTGAGAAGCTTTTTACACATAGGCTGACAGACCTTTTGTCAGGCATCTCCTGTGTTTAATGATGTGGTGCAAGTTGCTATTATTTTATCATTTTCTATCGGCTTAGTGCGATCAGCTCGGGTCCTTGTGCGTCAATCCCTCGCATTTTGCTCAAGTCTTGCGCTCGGTTCTGCTGACTGGTAATTATCTGGTTGGTTTACACTTAGGCTATTGGATCTGGGTGTCCTGTCTATTGCTTACTCGACGCTCGTATGTCTCTATTCTCATAATTCGTATTTTGCTTGCAATCCTCCGATCCGAACACCTTACTCGGTGATTTATTCATTTTGTAATGTTATTTAATTATGAATTCGTTCAGCTCAGCTCGGATGTCAACAATGACATATATACTTTAAATAACATGTCATATAACAAGAATGACAGAGTTATTGCTCTATTTTATAGTAGTTCTTTTAATAAATTATATTTTTTTTATTAAAATGAACTGCATGAGAAAATTTATATTTGTACATTTTTAAAGAAAAAATAATGAAACAATTAAAAACAAGTATTTGTCATATTTATAAAAAGAGTAGTTAAAAATTCACAATTTTTTGTTAAAGGAGAGTCATCCTAATATAAAACACGACGAGTTATAAAGTATAATAATTTTTATTTTATAAATGCAACATTCACTTTTTAAAAATATTTATCGTGTGATTCGTGTAATTAATATTAAATTTAAAAAATATTTTCATACTTGGTCTTCTTATACATTTGTCTAGCTAGATTTTTTGTAGCAAGTATTTCAAGTTCGAACTCGTGCTAATTTAATAGACGAGTTGTCGTGTCAGCTTGTTCAATAAATAAACAAAGTTTCGAGTGTGGGTTCGACTCGTGTAAACTAAGTTTAAGTTATTTAATAAACACTAAAACCTATACCAAAACCCAGAACTCTAACCGAATTATTTGCAAACTCGTTCGACTTCATTTGGTTGATAGACAAGCTCAATTAGTTGTTCGACATTGAATCATATAGATACACGAGCAAGTGAAGCTCAAATTTTGAAAGTCATAATTGAACTATGTTAGAGAACAACTCCGTTCGAATTATAGTTTTTATTTGCTTTTTAAACGAAACCTAGAAAATCAATTAAATTAAGTTAAAAACAATCTTTTTTTTTTTTTTT